TGGGCTTGGAACAAAAAACTTAAGTCTAACATGAACTCAAGTTGGACACAAGTTGAGACCATGGATAGCCTGAGCCCAATCCAACCTAATTTGAGCCCTTCCAACATTTTATTATATACAAATTTACATATTATCAATATATTCTACATTGAATTTGTTTTACAAAGCTCAACATGCTCAAGCTCGCCCAGTTGGAGATGCTGGGTTAAGCTCCAGTTGGCCCTAAGTTGGTAAACTTGGGCTTAACCTAGAGTTGGGCTAAGCTTGAGCTTGAGGTTTAAGACTTAAGGTTGGGCTTGGGCTGACCCTCAACCTTATCCAACTCACTTAAGTTGCACCCCAAGGAATGTTGTGACATTCCTAATTAAATTTAAAACTAATAATTTTGTTAATTTTTTAATATCATAAGACTTATTTTTTAAACTAAAATTCTGTTACTTTTGTTGTTTGGTAATAAACATGTATTACTTTGTAGTAGTTTATTTTATGAAAATTCTGGAAATTTTTTACATTTGTGTAGTTTTGAAAAGTTATTGAAATTTATTATTAAATTTTTATTAAAAAGTGTATTTACAAAATTAAACTAATTTATCTTTTTTCCAATATAAGCTAACCAATAATTTCATTTTCCAAAAATTTACACATTTATCTTTTGAAGAAATAGATTCCTATTACAGCATAAGTAAATCAATAATTTCATTTTTCAATACCACTTTATCTTTCAAGGAAAGAAACTGTAAAAAAAAGTAAAATGTATATAGTAAAATTAATTTTCCAATGAAAATTTAAAGAATATGTTTCACTATTATCTTATAATATCATTGAATATTGATGGACTTATCAAAATTACTGAAAAATCAATATCTAATTATTGTTAAAAAATTAATAAAATGTAAAATAAATTTATATATATCGAAATAAAATTTTGATGAAAAATTAGTAATGATTTTTAATTATTATCTATTAACATAATTAAATATTAATTAATTTATGTTTATTAATATTTTAATTAATTATTCATTTTTCAGAAATTATTGACACCAATACTTAATTTTCAAAGATTTCTGAAATCCAATTTCCAAAATCAGTAATTTTTCATAATTAAAGTTTAGGGAAATTGTCTAAAACTCACAATGAGTTTTCAACATTTCTCTTAAACTCACCACGACTTTTCAAAATATCTATAACTCACCAAGTCACTAGCTTGATGTTAAACAAACGGGTGTAACATATTACCATTTCAGTCTTCATAGAAAAATGTAAAATATATAAAATAAATTAATAGGTGTTAATATATTACCATTTTAATATTTACACATAAAAATGAAAAAATTAAAATATAAAATACATAGAAACATAGAAATTACAAAAAATATGAAAAATTATAGAAATTGCAAACAAAATAAAAATTATTTTCAAATTATAGAAACTATAGAAATTGAATAACAAAATCAGAAAATAAAAATTGTAGAAAAAACACCAAAAATTATAGAAAAACACAAAAGTTGTAAATAAATAAGAAAAATATAGGAAAATTTATAGTGTAGAAAATAGAAAAATGCAAAACACTGTTCAAGGAAAATTTATAGAAAACATTGGAAGTTATAACAAAATACTAAAAATGCAAAAAAGAAAAAAAACAAGAAAATTGAAAACTGAAAAAGACCATTTTCCTCTAACTCACTGTTCAAGGATAATTTGGTCAAAAAATTTGTTATTTGTGCTGACATGGACACCTCTGTTAAGAAGCATTAATGGTGCACTAACCGAAGGTGAGTTTTGAAAAATAAAAACTTACTAACATGGTGAGTTTTAGACATTTTGAAAAGTTGTGGTGAGTTTAAAAGAAATGTTAAAAACTCATGGTGAGTTTTAGACAATTAGCCTAAAGTTTACAATTTACCAAAAATTATGGAAAATGTTTCACAAATTAATTTATCCTATTAATAAATTAGAAAATTGACTGTTTTAATGATTACCAATTTTTTTTAAAATTACCAAGAAAATTAGGGATATTTAAATATAGCAATTATTAATAAATCATAATAGTTTAAAAATAAATAATAATTTTCTGAACTAGATAAGTAGTAATTAATAATTAATAATAATTTTCAATAAATTACAATAATTTGGTTAATTATTTATTGTTAACAGTAATTTCTGATTCATTTTTAGTTAATTAGTCTACCAACTTTGGTGAATAAAAATCCGATTATTTTGTAATTTATTTTGTAATAATTAGTAGTTAGTTGCTGATCATTTATATTTATTGAAATAAATTTTCCAATGAATCATTACCAATAATTTTTAATTATTATTTGATATTATCATTAAATATTAATAAACTCTTAATATTATTAAATATTAAGATCAATATTTCATACCAAAAATTTAGAAAAATCATTAATTTTCCATTTCACCAAAATTACAAAAATATAAAAAAAAATAGAATTAATTTAACTACCCAAATTAATTGAACTAATTAATAAATTATCAAATTTAACTAATTTAATAATTAATAAAATTATTTTTCAACAACGACCAAAACATTTAGGGATAATAAAATGTAGTGGTTACTAATTAGCCAATTTAACTCATTATCAAATTTAACTATTTTTTACAATTACTAAATTGAACTCATTATTGATTAATCATTCGCATTTTGGGAATCGGGTGTTGGACACTTAGACGGGTTCAATCAATTATCAATCAATCAAGTATCAATCAATCAATTGATCAATCAATCATCAATATGTCAATAAATCAATCAATCAAACGATAGATCAAGCTGGAGTAAAATTTTGATCCACTCTTCATTATTACCTTGATCACAACTAGAGTTCTGTGATTTGAGATGGAATAATCCAATCAGAACGACAACTTTTCTGTACATCTTCTCCAGCACGTCGAAATAGCCACATTCAAACTCTCGACAATTACGTACGGACACGACCTTGCTTTTACGGAGAACAGTGGCTATCTTTTCTATTGGACCATCTATCCCCAAAAGGCCATGGAAAAAGCCAACTTCTTCGTAGGAGGGGAGGCCAAGACAAGACCGGACCACGTGGGTTGGGACTAGGGTGGCAATTAGTCAGAGCTCAAGCCTATAACTCGCCTAGGCTCGCGAGCCGAGCTATATATATATATAATATATATATAAGAAAATAATATATATAATAAAATATTATAAGTCTTAATTTTAAATATCAAATAAAAATATTTTTTATATATAATTTTTTATTTTTATAAAATATTTTTTTTAAATCGAAGTTCAAGTTAAATGTTCTAAGTCGAATCGAGCTTGAGCTCAAGCCTTATATAACCTTGGCGAGCCAAGCTCGAGCCAACTACACCTACGAACTCAGGCACTAGCGGCCAGTGCCACCAAAACTAGGTCATCTCTCTCCGGCAATGAGCCCTCTCTCTCTCTAGTTGGCACCGCTTTCACCTTCTATCTTTTCAATTCTCACTTTTTTCTTCTCATTCTCAATTCTCTTTCTTCTTAGAACTAGGTCTTTTATCTTTTCAGTTCTCTTTCCAGCCAGCACCACTAGAACCCAAGCACACTATTTTCACTCTGTGAACTCAGGCACCAACGGCTAGCGCCACCAGATCTAGGTCGTCTCTCTCTCTAGCGTTGAGCTCTCTCTTTTTTTCTCTCTCTCTCCGGCCGATATTGTTTTCATCTTTTATCTTCTCACTTTCTCCGTTTTTATTCTCACTCTTAGACTCCTAGGAATCGATGAATTCACGTCAGTCACCATTCTCTCAATCTCAAAGGGCACCGACACTCAAACTCCCAAGTCGAGCTTTGGGCTTTTTATGAGGGCCATGCTCAGGCCCAAGTTGTAGGCCCGTTGGTTAGGCTGGGCTCGGGCTCGGGCTTGAAAATTTTTTGCTAATGAAGAGCAAAAGCTGGCTTGAGCCCAACTCGGCCTAACCCATGAACAAGTCTAATTTGAATGAAGGGGTAGATGAATAGTCTGTCCTTCGAATTCTTTGGATTGGCGAATGAAGAGCTTAGGTTGAATTTATTGGAATATAGGGGTAGTTTTGTAATTTTGAGGAACATTAGGGTATTTTGGTAATTTTGACTAGACCTGTTCATGGGTCGGGCTCGGGCCGGGCTTTCACTTGTCATTAAGGGAAATTTGCTAGGCCCGAGCCCGAGCTCGGCCCGACCAACGGGCCTATAACTTGGGCCCCAGCCCGGCCCTGATAAAAAGCCCGAAGCCCAAGCCCACGCCCGAAGACCGACCTAATAAAAAAAACAATTTTCCCTATTCAAATTACAATTAAAAATTCAGATAGTTTTTTTTCCTATTTAAATGAACAATGGGCCTACAAAATGGTTTTTTTCCCATTTCTTTTATATTTTAAAACACAGTTTTACATTCTTAAATCAAAAAATTTATTCAAATGGACATCACATAACCCATTTTAATTTCATTCTTTTTTTCTTACAATCAAGTGGATCAACAACCTTCTTTAAGGTTGTTTAATATATTTCCTGTTGTTTGGTTGTTTCTATACAACCAAGGCAAACCTAAAATAAAACACATAAGAGCAAATCATATAGGTTCATATTCCTACAAATAGCATCACACACTAAAACTAAATTCATATAACTTCAAGTTCAGGTTCCTCCAAAGTCATAAAAAAATAATATGAATAAGACAAACAAAATCCATAAAACATGTTTTCTATCCATTCTTGAATTCACCAACAAGATGGAATATTCCAACTCTCAAGTTCCAAKCYATTCTAAAAAATAAAATAAAAGACTTCATTGCCCATATGACCATATCAAACAAAACATGTTCTACCCATCTCCATTCATTCTTGAATTCACCAACAAGATTGAACATTCCAACTTCCAAGTTCCAAGCCATCCTACAAAAGAAAATAAGAGATAAATTCAGTACCCATGTCACATAGGTAATTTGTTATCATGTCAAATGACAAATAAATAATAGAAATATATGTTATTATAATACCTAAAACATATCATCAAGTTCAACATTTTCATCATCATTATCACTACTATTTGATTCTTCATCCTCTTCTAACAAGTTTGATCCTAAAGAAGCCCCTAACAAGCTTGATCCTCTTGCATACAATTAGAAAATCTATTAGAAAAAATTCAATGAATCATATATTTTAATAAACAATAAATAGAAAAAATTACCTAATACAAGGCATTGTGCACGAAGCCAATCTTCAAGACAAACCAAAGCTTGAATTGTCTTGGACTTAAGTGAACTTCTCCAAGGATTGATCACCTTCTTTCCAATGCTAAATGCAAATTCGGATGCAACTGTGGAAATAGGAATAGTCAAAATATCCCGAGCCATTGATGCCAATTCAGGATACCTAATTGAACTCTTATTCCAATACTCCAAAACATCAACATTTGCTTTGATATCCAGGTTTTGTTCCTCCAAGTAAAGGTCTAACTGAGTTTTTTCACTTTGAATCTTTTTTTTGAATTCAAAAATTGTTCATAATCCTCAAACCCATCACCATCATCATTTCTCTCACTCATGTCAAATTGACTAGAAGATCTAACAAAGGAGGTGGAGGAAAATTTTTCTTTGTATTCATTAAACAAATCATGGAGAGATTGAGTTATAGCATTAACATGCTCCTCAGCTTCATTCCCATAAAGTTTATCAAAACAATACTCCACTAGCCTAATCCTGCAACGAGGATCCAACACAGCAGCACAAGACAAAATCATACTATATTCAGCCTAATATTTATCAAAATTCTTCTTCATTTTTCTAACCATGTCAGTCATAAAATTCTGAGGTCCCTTACTCACTAATATCAAATGTTTATGAATCATCCACACTCCCTTGAAGTAAATGTTTGAAATATGGTACTTAGTGGCAGAAAACATACAAGTAACATTATAAAAAACCTTTAAGAACTTGTGAAGCTTATCCACCTTTCCCCATTCTTCTTCCGAAAGCATAAACATTTTAAAAATATTATCCCTTTGCCCCCAATGTTGTAAGACTTGCTTATAATAAATGGCATGGTCAAGCACAAATAAGTTGAATTCCATCTCACACACATATCTAACCTCAATCTTTTAGTTGTGTTTAAGTGAACTTTTTTCAGCAAGTTCATAAAATCTATGCTTCCGGGCAGCTGATTTCTTTATATTTTTCACACCATCCCGAATCTTAGAAACAACATCATCAACAATATTCAAACCAGCTTGCACAATAAGATTCAAAATATGGCTACAACAACGGACTTTGAAAAATCACAACCACACACCAAAGATTTATGTATTGAAAATCTCAATTTCAAAGAGTTAGCCATCACATCATTGTAACTAGCATTATCTAATGTGATGCTAAAAATTTTCTGATAAATATTTCATTCGCTTAAGCACATGGCCACCTCATCTACTAAAGATAGTCCATCAAAAGGAGGTGCCAAAGCTTTAAAGCGAATAATTCTTTTTTGTAACTTCCAATTGTTGTCAATCCAATGAGCAGTTATACACATGAATTCATCATCAGTGTGCTCAGATCTCCAATTATTGGAAGCTAAACAAATCCAACCAAGTGTATTAGACATATCACTTTTCACACCCTCTCTCTCTTTCACATAACTAGACATGATATCTCTTCTAGCAGTATGCCTACTCACATTTTTAAATTCAGGATTTATAGATTGAATAAAGAATCTAAAACCAGGTTCTTCAACAATAGTAAAATGATGTTTTCCACGTACAAGAAAAATTGATAATGCCCTACGAGACTCTTGTTGATCAAACTTGTAGTTTTTCAAAGAAGTACTCTCATCAGTGTTTGATTGAGTAGTTACTTTGTACTGTCCAATATCATGAATTCTACGTCTAGGGCAACACTCTAAATGACGCTTCAAGTAAATAGTTCTCTTACTTGACTTACCTTGTAATATTTTTATGCAGTGCTTATATCGTGCCTTCTCCGAATTAATCTTTTCCATTTCATCCCACACCTTAGATGTCAATCTTTTCTTAGTGGAAGTCTGGTCAAACTCTTGATAGTCATCATCAAATATATCTACTCCAGCAGCCGCATTTTCACTTGCCATTGACATGATAGTAATTATTAGCAAGCAAGCGAGAGAGAAAGAGAGGAAAGACCTTTTCTTTACCTAAAAAGAACAAATTAAGACCCAGCTTCTTTTGTCTGTTTATTTTTCAACTGAAGCTTCATCGAAAATGAGAGCAAGGTTTTGCACTTTCATTTATATACCTTTCAAATCGAGCATAAGGAAAGTTCCTTCACATTCTCTAAAAAGAATAAATTAAGACCCAGCTTCTCTGTCTATTTATTTTTCAACTGAAGCTTCACCGAAAGTGAAAGTGCGAGTGGGAAATAAATTTTCTTAATTTTATTTGTATATCCAACTGAAGCGTCATCAGATATGAAGACTCAGCTCTTAATTTCCTCCACATTCACCAAAGGACTATTATGCAATGCAGTTCCTCTCTTCAGTCTCTCAGCATTGAAGCCATTAGCAGCAGCAGTTAAGAGATGAGCACGCTGTGCCATGTAGGAGAAAATGAGGTAAGCATGAATTGGTTTACAAAATATTTTCATTTTTAATCTAAATGCAAAATTTCTTTTATTAAGAACTGCTTTCTGTACTTTGATCTGCAATTTGATTAATGTGTTCATTACTGTAAACGGCACTCTAGTATTTCTAACTGGACAGATAGTTGCTTCTATTTCTTTTGAGTAACCTCCAACATTGCCCATCTTGGTAAAAATTATTCTATGGAACCAATTTGAACTTGCATAATCTAAGAATATAGCGCGTGACATGAATTAAACCAGCAGTATTTTTCGCAAACCGTAGTCGAGGCTGCCCGTCTTGATTAGTCAACCCAATTAATCTTAAAATTTTAGGAACTTATGTTGTATCAAGATTTAATAGTAGCACTGAAGCTTCCTGTCAAGAAAATGTTTAATATAGGACCCCTTCATATGTCCATTAATTTTTTTTTTCGCAATTTCAATTTTTCCCCTTCCTACTATTCATCATCTTCTTCAAACTCCGTACATTATAAGAATGATTTTTGAAAACCACAGACCGCACAGTAAATCTGAATCTTGGAAGAGAAACTAATCTAGTGCATAGTCTGAACTCTGAAGAAAGACTCCTAAGAGGATCAAAACCCTGAGAACGTTCTACAAGGGTGAGTTCCCCTCATGTTGGGGTTTTGTGAGTAAAAAGCCCCGGTCGCCAGTGTTGGTCGCTTTATCCGCTTTCTGAGAAGATTCAGAGATTATTCCTTTCTCATAGCGAAATAACGAATTGACCCGTTCTTGGGGTTGAGATGGACAATCAAAATGCAGGGTATCTTTAGGTTCAATTTATTCAGCTCCGATTTGTAGTCATCCTTATCCTGCCAGTCAGTCTGCCATGAGCATGTAAGCCTCCTGCGGTATATGAAAACCGTCCCGGTGAATGTGTGCTGATTTGGGTTAGGACAAACGGACACCTGTAGACCCACACACACGCATCGTGTAATTATATACTCATGAATTAGGCCATAAAATCCAACAAAAAAACAAAAGGATCAAGAAATTTTCTTCTTCTTTTTTGATTTTTTGATTTTATTTCATTTTTGAATTAACCAATGTGATGCATTTTTCAATAACCTAAATAGTTTTTTCTCCTAAAATTTATCCTAAACTACCTCATCCACTTTCTCCATAATTATCTATAATTCTTATTTATCTTCTAAATTATCTATAATTCCTATTTATCTTCTAAATTATCTCTAATTTAGTATAGAGTTGTTCTCTTAAAATTATCTATATTTCCTACTTATCCTCCCCCTTACATTTTATCTATATCTATCTAAAGAAAGTTTTTGGACTAAAAAATTTAAGAATTATTTAAATATTCTAATAAAATAATATAATAACTTTAAATTATTTATTAAAAACACAAAAATAATTTTTTATATTCTTATAAAATATATCATGAAATTATATACTAACAATTTAGATTTTTCTTGGATTGTCAATTTAAATGTTTTTCAAATATTTAATAATATGTAATAGCTTTAAATAAATAAAATTGAAATAACAAAAAAATTACATATTTTATAGACTATTTAAATATTTAAATAACTAAATATTTATCATAAATATATTTTAAATAGATAAAATAGTTTAATTATTAAAAAATAAATTTAAAAATTAGATTTATGATATAAAACATTTTGGACTAAGAAATATGGAAAATTTCCTACTTTTTCATATCTAAAATTATATTTAAAATATAAAATTTGCTAGGTCATCCAATTTTGGTTGGTTTACAAATGGCCAAAGTGAAATTAATCCAACTTGTTCGAATTAGGAAATTTTTTAATTAAAGCCAACCTAAAATGCTAGAGAACCAACCAACTCGGGTCGAGTTGATTGAGTTGGTCAGTTTCATCAGTTTGATGAATAAACCTAACTGAAATTAATTATTATTATTTTGTATTATAAAAATTTATTAAAAGTAATATATAAAATATGAATAATCATTAATTATTTAAAAATTTTAAAATATAAAACAATTGTATACTCTTATGTGATTCTATTAGGTTCACTTATTAGAACACATCTTTTAGTTTTACCCATTTACTTAAACCTACCTTATAGTTTTCATTTTATTAAAATATTCTATATATTTTACAACTTATTTATTTAATCAACCTTTCATTAAGGAGTGCTTGTTTTGCCATTAGGCCCGTGATTTTTTATTCCAAAAAAACCCTTAACATTTTTTTGTACAAAAGACAAAATTAACCAAATATAGCCAATAGAGTGGTTGTCTGTGTCTTATAAAGGGCAAAAATGATATTTTTGCTTTTATTTTCTTTTGATTAAATTTATTTAAATGAATATTAGGGTCTGCCATCTAATGAAAGATTGATTAAATCCATTGCAAATTATAAGTGTTGTTTTAGTAAAATTTTAACTATAGGGTAGATTTTAGTAAATCCATGAAATTATAAGGAGTATTTTAGTAAATAATCCTTTCTATTATTTAGCTTTCACTTAATAAACCATGTGCATCGCATGGGTCCCCACTAATATATTCATAAATTCTATCAAACCTTACCAACAATCCAAGCCTAAGTAAGCGCAACCCAAAACCAATCCTAACCCGAATTATATTTGATTAAGCTCAAATTAGGCTTGGGTTAATAAACTACTTGACCTCAGAATAGATTAGTCTTGGGTTAATAAACCCGAATTATGTTTGATGTTGTTGTGTTTGGAAATGATGCAAATAAGTGTGAATGCAAATATGTAAAGTGTACAAAGGTTCACATAAACTGCAAAATTGGGTTAGTTTTGCACTAACAAACTTACCTTCTTACCAAATAGATTTTTAGCTGTACTGGATGCAAGCATGAATTCAAATAAAGCATATGCTTTTTACTTTTTATCAAAAGCCCACTTGAATGCAAATTTACTTCTTTTTTATCGATGTACTTTTACATCTTATTATCAATGTAAATATACATTGATTTGTCATTTATTTGCATAATTGTAATGTTGCCAAACATAGACAAAAGTGAACTAGAGTACAAATTTAACCTGAACCCGAATTTACACTCCATTTGCATTGTTTCCAAACATAGGCAAAAGTGAATTATGGAGGATAACAATACAACCCCTACACCATCCACTAGAGCTCATAGCTCATAAGAATTGGTTGTATTAAAGGATGTATGTGATCTATGAAGCATCGGTAGTATAATTTGAATTCAGATCTACATCCCACGACACCCCACAACGTTCCACAGAACATATCCACCATGTATTGGGAGCATCTCCTGATGATAACATCATCATTCCTAGTACTATCATCAGGAGATATTCCTAATACACGGCGGGGATGTGTTGTGGGACATTATGGGAGACACATGTGAACTCATGTAATTTCATTATGCAATGATTTTTTTCGAGTTTATTTGTGGTATCACCATTTATGATAACCTAGTTAGACATTGGGAGATTTTTAAATTGGTTTTAACAATCTTTGAGTTTCGTAAAACCTGATTACAGATGTATGTACATATGTTGGGTCCAAAAATTCTTTTCTTTTTTTTTTAACTTTCTTGTTTTATCGGACTAGCACATTCCACATCCCCTTAACACCCCTGGTGGCGGCGGGGTGTTAAATCTATTGCTTGCCTTGCTGCGATGGTAACTGGTAGGCTTGTCTTCCACCTTAGTTATTATCTATTAATGGATTTGAGACCACTTGTAATGTTAAAGTTGATTCATTTTGTGGGTCTTCTCTTATTCCTTTATGTTGATTAATGGATGCTTCATTTTACAATATATATATAGGTATCTGCATGTATAAATGAATGGTACATATACATATTTATAGATTATTAGTGTGCATGTGCTTTGAATATGAAAATTTTAATTGTTGTTGTTGATGATGATGATAATAAACATTATGTTTTCAAAATTTTCTATGATTTATTTATATTTCTATGTCTATAAAATTATTCTTAATTGTTATATTTATTTTTCTTTAATATGATGAACATATGATAATAGAAAAGTTCCCAAATATTTTCTACATTTTTTTGTATTTTTTATACTTTTGTGTAATTTTATCTTTTTCAAATTTTATTATTATATAATTATGACATTAAGGGTTTACACACTTGACCCAAAAGGTTGAATGGTTGACTTACCACTAAATAGGAAAACAACTCCATTTTTTGTATTGGTTTTAAATTTGTATGTTATTTTATTATCAATAAAAACAATTATTCTTTTTCATATTTTTTAATATGGCTAATTAATATAGGATTCAACAAAAAATATTGAGAAATAATACCCTAAATATAGGACTCAAAGAAAGAAAATTGAATGAGGAAAAATGTAGTAGTTCAAATTACATTTTGTATACTCACAATTAGAGAAGGACCAAATTCACAATTAGGGGGATTCTAGCCAGTAATAGGATTTAATGAATGTTAATGGGAATTAAAACCTTAAATAAATACTTAGTGAGAGTGATATGAGTAGAAAAGTGATTGTTCGAATTACACTTTTGTCCATACAATTGGAGAGCAACTAAATAAAAAATTGGGGTATTTTGTTTTTTTAAGTTCAGGGGTATTTTAATTAAATAAAATTTCCACACACACATTCACATGTTTAATAGTAGTATATAGTATATATTAAACCGTATTAATATATTTAAGTTTTATTGGTCATTTAGGTAACTCTAGTCAACTTCAAGTACATTAGATTTTTTGTTGAATTTATTTAAAAAAAAACTATGACAAATTTACAGGGTGTTGGGTATAGTGGCATTGTGTTGCTATTGCATTTTTGGTTTATCAATACAAATTTTTATTTTTTTTTTACTTTAAATGTTTTAAAAATGTTTTGAGTTGATTAATACAAATTGGTGTTTCTTCCTAAAACAACAAATTTGATATTTATGACACATGCATTTTTCTAGTTGAATTAATCATACTCATATATGGTCTAGCAAAACATTTTTCACAAGTTTGAATTGATTTAACACCAAATACAACGGCAACACAACACCACTATATCAAACACCCCCTAGTTAATGCATGCTTTTGCCATGAATTTGTTGGGCTACCCCAATCCATCCAACCAGATTATAAGAATTAGGATGCTTGGGTTGGATTATGCATAGGTAAACATTTTTAGATAGAATTGGGTTATGCTCATAAGATTGGGGCTTGGCGGTAGTGGGTTGAGTTAGGGTTGAGGTACCTTTGCCTCAAATTAGGCATGTATTGAACTCAACCCTATTCATTCCAGCCTAAGTTGCAAGTAGGGTTGTAAATGGATTACAAAGGTCCCATACCCAATTTGAAATTGAATCTAATCATCTGGATTTGGATGTTAGAGCTTGTATTCGATTACTAATTAGATCAGACATGGATTTAACTTCATCCAATTTGATTAAAATCTGAATTACTTTTATATTTATATATATCTATTAAAAATGTATAAGGTAAAAGTAATTACTTTTTTATCATTAAAAAAATTGGATGCCGATTAAGTGCCCATTTGAAAGGGCTTTTGGGACCAAGGTTCAAAGTATTGATACGATATGCATATCGGTCATATCGTATCGGTACTTAGAAATGGACGAAACACTTTTTTTTTAGTTTTTTTTTCAAATTTTGGTTTTTGGGAAGGTAAGAACATGTTTTTTTATTATTAAAATTGGGGTTCTAAACCACCATGTTATTAACTTTTGTGCCCACATGCAATTTTACACAAAAGCACTTCTACAAAAACCATTTTATTACGTAATTTTATGAAAATGAATTTTACAAAAGTATTTTTGTGAAAGTACTTTTATGGAATCACTTTTATGAAAGCATAAAAGTGCTTTTACAATAAAAGTACTTTTACATGAAAGCACTTTTATAAAAAACACTTTTATGAAAGCAAAAAAACACTTTTGTAAAAGTAATTTTATGAAAGCACTTTTATAAAAGTATTTTTATGAAAGCACTTTTATGGAAGCAGAAAATCACTTTTATAAAAGCTTTTATGAAGGTATTTTTATGAAGCACTTTTATGAAACCACTTTTATGGAACTACTTTTATAGAAGTACTCTTATGAAAGCATTTTAATAGATAATTTTATAGTACTTTTGTGAAAGTACTTTTATAAAAGTTTTGCATTTTTTTTGCATTTTCTACTATTTTCTGCATTTTTTTGGTATTTTTTGCATTTTTTACAAATTTTTGGCGCTTTTCTACATAATTTTCTACAAATTTTCTGTTTTTTTAATGCATTTTTTACAATTTTCTGGTCATTTTGCATATATTCTGATTTTTTCTACAAAAGTTTCTGTAATTTTTAGTATTTTTCATAATGTTTTTGTATTTTTCTGTTTTTTGTTTTTCAATTTTTGGTATTTTTGCATATTTTCTGATTTTTCTACAAAGTTCTAAATTTTCTACAATTTTTAGTAATTGTTTGCATTTTTCATAATTTTTGGTTTTTTGTATTTTTTGTAATTATTTTGGTATTTTTTACATTTTCTATAATTTTCTGCATTTATCTACAATTTTTTTGCATTTTTGGGTATAGGGGTTGAGCTGACTCGTTTTTGCCACGTGGTTGTCTTGAGAAAGATTATTCTCTCAAAAATTGTTATTTTGGGTGTATAGCCCATCCCAACCTAATTTTGTATTTATAAGTGATTGTAAGTGGGTTAATATGGGTGACAGGATGAGGGTACTTAAAGGTCAATATGAGTGGATCAGTGTGGATTATGACCCTTTAATAAGGATTGATGATGGATCATGGTGGGGTGGTGGGTCAATATGAGTGAATTGATATTCAACCCTTACCCAACCCTCCCTTTTGCCACTCCTACACAGAAGTTGTACCGAATGGGCTCTAAATTTGAATCCAATCCATGTTGGACTTAGATCAAATTTAGATTCAAAAGCTAAATAATGGGATCGAATGCAGATGTAATTGGATCCGATCCATTTACAGCCCTTGTTGCAACCCTACTTCTTAACCCTGCAAATTATAGTCGTTTTCATATATAAAAGCACAAGCATATCTACACATGTGCACACCAATATAGAAAAGAAATTGAAGTGAGTATATTATTTGGTTGTTTGAGTTGCTACTTGTACACCATGGTATTCTTGTTATATTATTTAATACGGTTCACCATATATACTTTGGCTTCTTCATTTGTAAGAGAAAAATAAGAAAGTGGCAATGAGATGAATCAACTCCTATTCTAATTTGTACCACTCTTCCATTCATTTTAATTTGGGAAAATATTTGAGAAATTGTATTTTTTATGAGCTACTTCATATCTTTTCCATTCAAGTGATACAGTATATCCTGACAACACCTTAGAACCATTTGCTAACAGTCTTTGGCTACAAACAAAAGTTTCCATTCAGTGGGCTTCTTGTTTTTTTGGATTTTGAGAGGGGGAAAGTAGGTCAATGAGATTTTGGTTCTCATTGATCAAGAATCACATATTCTTTTTTCACATTAATGTGTGGCTCAGCGAAAGTTTGTTTTCCTAAGTACCATATACTTGGGTGAGTGATACCCATCTTCAAGGTGGATAAATAATTATCTCACTTGGGTGGGTGGGGGGGGAGTTTCCAATACTTAAATGGGACAAAAATGTCCCTTTTAATAATAGATTTTTATGGTTAAAATAGTCATTTTCTTTCTTTACTTGAGAAATAAAAGAACATGGGTAAATACTACACTTACCTGGATAAGTGTTTCCCAATAAAAACTTACACAGATAATTATATTTACCCAGGTAAATAACTTATTGAAAAAGCGTGGCCGTTCTCTCTCTAGACAATGCCTCGGTATTTGGGGAAATTTGCATTGAAATTGTTGAAGCAATTAATTATCCTTTTGTTATTTCTTTATTTTGAATACATCATGTCTAGTAACGGTCATTGTTTAGATTTAGTGACCAGCTTATTTGAGAAAGCACATCTTATTTGATTTTAACAGTGATATTGGTGTTGAAGTCGCACTATATCATCATAGCGAAACTGAAATCTTACCCATATCTTCTATTACATTTAAGCTCAATAGGGACGGCCAGTAACAGTCAAGTCACAGACATGAATACGCCAACTGAGAACAAAGGTTGTACTTGTACTTCGTTTGCAATTGAAATTGGAGATACGTTGGTGAATTCCATTCAAGAAAAATTGGATGATGTGTCCCCATTGTCCTCCGAGTGTTGTATCTTCCGAGTTCCAGAACAAATGCGCAAAATAAATGAGGAAGCTTATAGACCCAGAATGGTGTCACTTGGCCCTTTTCACTATGGCAAACAACGCTTGGCAGAAATGGAAGAACATAAGAAACGGTACCTGAAAAGCCTTCTTCGTCGAAATCCAAGTATAAAATTGGAAGCGTATGTCAACACCATGAGAGAATTGGAAAATCGAGCCAGAAAATGTTACGCAGAAACCATAAGCCTTAGCAGTGACCAATTCGTGGAAATGATGCTGCTTGATGGTTGCTTCATCATTGCATACTTTTTCATGTGCGAGAATCCTAGCTTGAGAAGTGAGTTTGACCCCGTATTCCACGCGGCATGGACTGATGCTGGTTTATATCATGACATGGTGCTGCTTGAAAATCAAATTCCCTTCTTTGTTCTTGAGTATCTATTCAAGCTAGTTAATACCACCCTGAACTACAAAAATTCTCTTGTTGAGCTTTCTTTCTCTGTATTTGAAGAATTTTTGCAGAAGGAGGACCGAGTTCCAAACCAAAACCCGAATAGTTCCCAAGTAAAACATTTGCTTGACTTGTTACGAAATTACCATCTCCCATCATCAGAAAGAAAGAAGCCAAAAGGTGATCCTATGTTTAACCTTCCCCCTACTGCAACAGAGCTTCAAGAGGCTGGAGTCAAGTTTAAGATGATTACAAGCAACAGCTGGTTGGACATAAGATTTAATGAAGGAGTACTGGAAATCCCAAATATAAAAATCGAAGACGCTACTGAGGTTTTCCTCCGAAATTTGTTGGCTTTTGAGCAGTGTTATATGAAGAATTCAACTCTGTACTTCGTGGATTATTTATTGTTTATGGATAGCCTGATAAACACTTCTAAGGATGTGGGTCTACTCCGTGGTTGTGGGATTATAGACAACTTGCTAGGGGATGATGAAGAGGTAGCACATCTCTTTAACAAGCTTGGAAAAGGGGTTGTTATGTCAGAAAATGACAATTTCTATTATCTCAGACTTTGCCAAGATGTGCAGGAATATTATAAGAACCCTTTGCATAGGTGGCGGGCAAAGTTGGTACATGATTATTTCAACACGCCATGGGCGATCATTTCATTCATTGCTGCAGTTCTGCTGCTTCTTCTCACATTCATACAGACTATATATTCAGTCAAATCTTACATAAAAGGGAAATGAAACTACGAGTATATCATAAATAAAATGATGGAACCCAAATAAAGCCAAAGTTGTCTATCAATTGTGTTTGTTTGTTCGGTTCTTTTCCTCTATGGCTGCATGCTCTCTCTCTCCTGCCGGTCGTGCACAATCTTTTCTTTTTTTTTTTTTTTTTATGACACTGTTGAGTTTCCCTCTTATTGAAGTGAAGTCCATGTGGTATTTTTGAACCCATAGATGAAGGTATTCTTGTTTAAATGAAAATAGGAAAAGGAAATAACTTTTTAGTGGTGTTGGTTGTCAAAAAGATTGGGAGAAGAGAAAAGAAAAAGGAAGAGAATCCCGTGCAAAAACGGAGGGAGAAAAGGAGATTCTTTTAAATTCCAGTCTGCGCAGTTTTCATCTTGTGCTCCGATCGAATGTTGTTTGTGGTCCGATTGAGCTGAAATTTTGCAGGCATGTTCGCGACTTAAGGTTCTTCAATCTGAACGGTGGAGATCTGGTTTGATTCACTAGTTTGTGAGATCTGAGTCCGCGAACAGTACCTCCGTTTTGGGTGAGATTTTTCCATTATCTTGAGATATTTGTTAGTTTCCAAGACACGCATTTTCTTGATGATTTGCTGATTATATGCCTTTAGTTTTATCTAGAGAGAACTTTTGTACAATCACATTCTTGATAGTGAAAGTTTTTGGGTGACCGTGGTTTTTTTTTCCTTCCCACACCGGGAAGGTTTTTTCACATAAATTTGGTTGTGTTCTTGTGTGCTTGTTCTTTGGTTTAAACTCTACTAAATTGTTTCCTAACAGATTCACACAAAGAGGGAGAAAAATATTATTTCCACTGTTTTTGAAAGTTAATTATAATTTGCTTGACTTCGTGATTCTCCCAACAGACACATGGATGATCGACTGTTATCTCAAACCATACAGAACTACGTGAATGATTCAAAGACACATTAATTCCCTTATTAAATCCCGTTGCCACCAAGGTTGGGGATATGGGTATTGGGGACCGGTTACCCCGTCTAACTAATCATTTGATGAAAATGATTAATTTGGTTCTTTAATTGTATGTATCATTAAAAACTAGAGGTCTTTTTAATAATTTTTTGGTGTTAATTATAGATGAAAGTTGGTGCAAATTGAGAGATGTGTGGCTACAATTCACGACGGGTGAAGAGTGGGTAGGAAAATTGAATACTGAAAAATCCTGTTAGATCTGCTATCAATCAAACGCTCCTAACATGTCCCAAATGGCCGCACATCAGAAATATCTTCCCATGAATGACAAGGAGATGTTCGCAATGTGCAGTTGCAAAGAATTGAAGGGATTTTCTCCTCAAGTCCACATGATCACATGTTAATGTTTACATGTCACCAATTCAACTGTCCAATTTTTGAGCTGACAATTTAACTATCCGGTTTGAACGAATGACCCATTCTGACAATAAAAATTATAAGCAAAAAATTATTTCGGGTCGACGGTTCGACCATTTGGTTCGAACGGGCAGCCGTTCTATCAACAAAAATTACAGGCAAAAGATTGAGTGTGTGAGGTCCATTAAGCAATATCATATGTGTTATGTCATTCCAGCATGTGACTCATACGACTTGAAAATAGAACTATTCTGGCCACCTATTTTTGGGTCGACAGTTCAACCATCCAATTCAAACGAACGACCCATTCTGACAACAAAAAATTACAAGTAAAAAATTATGAAACCGTTCTGGCCACCGGTTTTTGGGTCGACAATTCGACCGTCTGGTTCGAACGGACGACCTGTTCTGACAACAAAAATTACAAGAAAAAAATTGAGTGTGTGAGGTCCATTAAGTAGTATCATACGTGTTATGTCATTCGAGCGCGTGACTCATACGACCTGAAAATAGAACCATTTTGGCCACCGGTTTTTGGGTCAACAGTTCAACTGTCTGGTTCAAATGGATGGCCCGTTCTAACAACAAAAATTAAAAACATAAAAAACGGCCAAAAACCATTGAACGGGTCAACAAGTCGATAGTTTGACTGCTTGGTTCAATGGGTCATTGACCGGTTCAATAGTTTTTGGTAGGGATCGGGATTGGGGTAAAACGGAACCGGTTGCCTGGATGGTTCTCTGTAAATTACTAAAACCTTCTTAAAGTTTGGTATAATTGCAATCACTTCCCCTGAACTTTCAGACATAGTTCTAAGTAGACCCCCTTTATTAGAATCCTCTAAAAAGAGGCATGAAAATGTCCAAAATAACCATACAATTACTTTGACTAAAATGTCTATTTTTCAAGTTTTTTTCTACATCTGAATCATTAATCCAAACCCTTCCTATCTCTTTTCTAAAATTGATTTATTTTCCAAATTCGCCCTTCATATCAATTGCTTAGACCGAGTTTGGAAGGAGTACAAATGCAAATATGTACAGTGCATATACATACAAAATACAAGGTTTTGCACTCTACGTATTTGTATTTGTACTCCTTCCAAAACTCAACCTTAATGGTAAAATTGCAACTTTAAGTTCTCTTTTTTGTGGTTTTCATAAAGTTTGCATTTTTTTTTTGTAGAAACCATCTTCGAAAATAACAACATGGATATTTTGGACATTTGCATATCTCTTTTTAGAGGATTTTAATAGAGTGGATCTACTTGCAACTATGTAATAAAGTTCATAGGAGATGATTGCAATTACTAAAGTTTAGAGGAGGTTTTAACAATGCTCCAAAACTTCAAGGGAGGTTTCAACAATTTACCCTTATTTATATACTGACAACTGGCACATTGAATTCTCTTGTTTGCTATCTTTTTAGTAGCCCGTTTGTATCGGATCCAGCCACTGTTTCTTGGCTTTAGAAAATGATTTGTTTATTTATGAAGTTGGCAATTTTTTTTTTTTTGGTATTTGTCAAGTTGGCAATTGGAAATTTCAAATTTCAACTAACAGACCCCGACTTTCCTCAACAAAGGTTGGCTACCTATGATGCAAAGGGCATTATATGTTGGAGGGAGATTCAAAATTTCAAGAATCTCTCTCTTCCCTCTCTTGTTTTTGAGTTTTGTATTTTCCTCTTCCCACTCATGAGTGCATGGAAAAACTCCTTGTTACATATTGTTTGGGAAAGGAGTAGAGGTGGAATATATCTATAGTTTTGCTCTCTCTATGGGTAGGGACCCATAGGAGGAAAAAACTATAGGCATCCCATGCATGTGAGGGGGGTTAGGGGTGCTTTTCACGGGTGCGGGTACGTGTATGCAATACATCGAATCAATTTTTTGTTTTTACCAGATTAATCATTTGTTTTTTAAATTTTGAATTTAATTTTGAACGTTTCTCTGAGCTGAGCCGAGCCGAGACGCGGATACGTGTACGTGCACAAGAACTCTATCGACCTAAGAGGTTTGGATGAAATTACCCCTAACTCTATTGACCCATAGTTCTGTAGGTTGTTATATTATGTTTGAAAGTTAAGTGTGTTTCACTATTCATGCCTTGTTCTTCGAAGCTAACTGCAGGTTGTTATGTTATGTCTGAAAGTATTCCACTGTTTTTTTCTTTCTCTTGAGAACAAGAGGAGAGAGAGAGAGAAAGTTTGCTCAGGTATGTTCATCTTGATACAATTCTATCGACCCATAATTCTGCATGTTGTTATGTTACATCTAAAAGTTAACTACGTTTCAATGTTCATGCCCTATTCTTCAAAGCTAACTGTAGGTTCTTATGTTACGTTTGAAAGTATTCTACTATTTTTTCTTTCTCTCGAGAACATGAGGCAGTAGAGATAAAGAGAGAGAGAGTTCGCTCAGGTATCTTCATCTTGATACAATTCATTGGGAGAAGTTTTTTATCTATTTTTTTATGATTTTGTAGGACTAATCATATCATTTTCTTGTTTTTTCAATTTGAACATCAAAACCTCTTGGGTTTGCTAATTGATGCCCATTGTTCTACACCATTTTCAACCGCTCTTTTAGTTCACCACTTTTAGTATTTCTCCCGAGAATAGAAGGCAATAGAGAGAAAAAGAGACAAAGCAAGTCCTTCTAGTATCTTCATCTTAATAGTGGAAGAGAGATCTCCATGATGGATACCAAGCTATTATTAAGTGAGTTGTTTCATCTTACTTTAATCCTTCACTCCAAATATGTGTCTTCCATGATGGATTTCAGCTTTGGTCTAATTCATAAAGATCTCCATTAGAGTTATACAACAAGATTTCATATTTATCAAATTTACAAATATTGCACATTTCCTTACTCTAATAAAATTTCATTTCTCACTTATAAAGAAAAAGAAAGAAAAGAGATGTATATATTTATACAATGTTGTGTAACCATTAAGTCTACACACAATTTGTGTATTTTTTTGTTTATTTATGTCTATATTGAACCAATATGTATGTGTTTCAACAAAAAATGATTTGGAAAACTTAAACCTGAGCCACTTGAATGATAAAAGAAAATAACCATCCGAATATATCAACATTTGTAAATGGATAGGATATATATCAACTATTAGTACAATATTTGAGAATTGGAGTACTAACCAACAAGTTGATGATAGAGATTATTGGTCATCTTCCTACCCTTTAGTTGTCCACCTAGCAGGCATTGCTAAGTAATGGGCTATTTTCAGTCTCGTGGTCTAATCAAAACACATTACTTTTGGTTCTTAATATGATACCAACTTTTGGTCTATTTTTCTTTGGCATTTTTTACTTGTCTATGGTGCTCCTCACATGGTTCTAGTATTGGTTTTTCAGGTGCATTTAATATTTCTTTTTCACCAAGTCTATTACATCTTTTACGACCTAGGTTTGTGTCTTGTTTTGATCTTATTCATATAGCCAATTAACTGACATAGTGGTTTTAAAGAAGTAGAACTGAAGCAAATGAATAAATAATGGAAAAAATGAGTGTCCTAATTAAGCAAAACTAAAAAGTATTAAGGAAAAATATGGGTTCACTAGACATTGAGCGCAAGAAGACTCTTAACAAGGGGAAATCTTATATATGAAGTTTTGGCACCTAAGGACATTTCAGTCAAAAAAATTGTTTAATAAGGCTAATTCATTTGGTAATGAAAATTGCATTTATGTTGACGTAGAAAACTTGTGCCAATGAACACCGATGGTGCTCTAATACGTGGATGGTGAGTTTTGGAAAACAAAAACTTACTGACATGAGGTTCCCTAGATGTTTTGAAAAGTTATGGTGAGTTTAAGAGAATTCATGTAAAGCCATGGTGAGTATTAGACAGTTTCCCTTAATTAAAAGTTACTTTGAAAATAAAATGCAAGTCATCTTTTCATGGCCTAGTTACAACATATTACAGAAATGCCCAAAACAAAGTGGGTCTATTCGCTCACTGTTTTGCTAGAGCATCCGCTATAATATTTGCTTCCCTTTTGACCCAATCAAAGCTAGAACTAAACTTTCTTGTTAGTGAGCCTCTTTTTTAAGATGAACCTAAGATTCCACGGTGCTAAGTCAATTTGTTTTTCCAAATTTATAATTAATTAATAGTGAATCCCCTTTCAATTTCTAGATCTCTTATTTCCATCTGCTCATTTAGTTTTTGAAATTGTAAGAGATACTGAGTTTCAGCCCGATTTTAGTCTTCAAAGCCAATTGGTCTAGAGAACATTGCCATAACTTCTCCTTGATGATTATGGATAACCCCCTATCTCAACCCTCTTTGGCTTGCCAAAGGAATTGTCATCAAAGTTCAGCTTTATCTTGTTTGGTCCCGATGGCTTCCAACTCTTTCTTGCCCTTTTTATACACATTTCCAGTTCCCTCCAATTCCTTAGGATATTGTCTATAGATATGTTTTTGAAGAGGTCCAATGTTTTAACCTAATGTGCAGTTTTGATCTTTACGACTCCAATCACTTCCTCTTGACTCAAATTTCTCATTGTATATCCTTCAGTTTCTTTCTTCCCATATATACTATACCACAACTACCCTTACCAGCTTCCACATGCATCTCCTCTTTTTCTATTGCTTGAGGAAGCGTTTCACCACAAGCCTTGCATAGGATGCATACATGGGGAGAGAGGCACTTATTTGGCCTTTTTTCTATAGCACATCACACATGGGTCCATTAATCATCCGTTAAGTGGCAGTTGAAAAGACAAAAATGGCCTTTGAGTGTCATTTAATTCTTTTTATCAATCATCCAATCGTTGATAAAAAATGAATAGTCCCAAATTTTGCATCTTCTATTCAAAAAAGTTGGGGTCATGTCTCACTGGGCATTTTGATGACCCCAACTTTCTTGAATAAAAGATACAAGGATTTGGGACTGTTCATTTTTTTTATTGATGTTTGAATGATTGATAAAGAGAATTAGATGACACTCAAAGGACATTTGTGTCTTTTCAAATACCACTTAACAGTTGAATAACAGTTGTTAACAATAAATAGTACCGAATTGAAAGAACCAAAGTGGCATTAGGGACAAAGTACAGGTTACTAATCGGGATTTTCCCCAAATTTTGCATTCACTTATGCTACGTTTGGTTTGAAGGAAAGTGTAGAAAAAGGAAGGGGAAGGTAGGGAAACCTTTACATTCCTTCAAACCAAACATGGCCTTAGTGCAAGCTCTTGCTGTTTCCAATACCAGATCTACTCCTCACACCTAGCGCCTCACACCCACATCCTACCATGCATTAGGAGCATCTTCCGAACTTATTAGTTATTATTTATGGAGATGTTCCCAATGCACGTTGAATGTGCATGTGAGGCGCCCATTTGTGAGGAGCAGATCCCCTCGCTGTTTCCTGCAATAAGAAAGAATCAGTTGGGAGTTGGACACTTGGACCCCATAAACTCACCGTGTTTGACTTTTCAAGCGAAATGGATTACTGCTATTTCCTGGTACTTTCCTTCTAAATAATCGAAGGAAGAGAAGTGAAAATGTTAGGAAGATGCCCAACAAGTGGGTCAGCCACTTCCTTGAATGTTGACTCTTCTTCGAGTCTTCGCTTCTTCACATCTTGTATAGATGGGACTAGGGAGAGCAGTCCAGCATTCATTTTCACCCAGAACCCAGAAACAATTTTGGCTCTACGTACCTTCTTCTTCTTCTTCTTCTTCTTCTTCTTCTTCTCTTACTGAGAGGATAAGCTATGGCACAGGATTCCTCAGTTTTGTCTCAAGTGGAAGGGATGCTTGCAAAATTGGCCTCCCCTCAGCTAAAAAGTTTTGGATCAGTATGGAAAGTTGAGAAAGAACTTGGGACACTCTCCGAAACACTGAAGAGAATTCAAGGAACGCTTAGTCTAGTGGAGAGGGCACCCAGACAGGACCGATTGGTGAAAACTTACCTGGTAAATCTCAGAGAAGCGGCCTCCCGTGCCGATGCAACATTGGAGGAGTTCATCAAAGAAAGAGAAAGAAGTAATATGAAGAAGCCGGTACGTGAATTCTTATTCTTTTCTTTAACCGAAGAAGAACTGTTACGCCGAAATCAGATCGGGCCTTTTATAGATAAAATTAACAACAGTCTGGTTGAGATTGACAAGAGTCTTGAACCCCATCGTTCCATGGGAAATGATCATCGAAGCAGCAGGCAAATTGAAAGGCGTTTGCGAACAGCGCCGGTCAAAAGCACAAGATTGCCGAGTAGCTCTGCAGTCGATGAGTCTTGTGTTTTCGGTAGAAGAAAAGATGCAAATAGCATAATAGAGTATCTAGTGTCAGATCATTATAATCGAAGAGAAATTCCTGTGATTTCCATAATTGGTGAGGAGGGAATTGGAAAGACAACGCTTGCACAGCTCGTCTACAACGACCCAGCCGTAGAGAAACATTTTGACATAAGAGCTTGGGTTTGTGTTTCTGGGGATTTCTCGGTCGAAAGGTTAACCAGAACGATCCTGGAGTGTGCAACTACTAAACCTTGTAGACTCAGTAACCTAGACCCAGTTCAGCGTGAGCTTCAAAATATACTAAGAGGGAAGAATTTTTTGCTTGTATTAGATGATGTATGCAATTGCAATCGAAATGGCTGGGATGCTCTACGAGCCACATTTTCTGTTGCAGACGCAGGAAGCAGAATTGTAGTAACTACTCAGAATCAAAGTATTACATCCATCATGAGTCCTATCTTTACTCATCCTTTGACAGATTTGGAGGAGGAAGATTGTTGGTTTTTGCTCAAGAAACGGGCATTTGGTGATGACGATGGTGAAATAAATCCAAGGTTAGAAAGAATTGGTTTGGAAATTGTGAAAAAATCTAACAAGTTGCCTTCGACATTAACTGCTCTTGGAAATTACTTGTATGCCAAAGAAGATGAGAGTATTTGGGAAATGATCTTGGACAGTGACATAGATAACTTTGGAGAAGAACAATTTAACTTTTAGTCTGCTGTCATCATCTGCTTCTTCTGTTGCAAAATAAATATTTTCTTTTCTTGTTCTGTTTTTGAATGTCAAGAAATGATATGCTTTTAGAAGAGAAAAATGGGTTTCTCATTCTTGGTCCTTTTCTATATTTATCTTTTTTCTTACAATATTTTGTGTTATGGGTATGGTAGCCTAGTGTTGATATAAAGGTTGATTCCTTGTTGATAGAGATTGGTCCAGTGTTGGGAGGGCTTCTCTATGGATGGATCTTTTCCATATGGAGCCTACCTTGCAATGCGAGAAGCCTCTGTGCTCCCAAAGAGGCACATCAGTGCCCCATGAGCACCCCAATGAAATAAGTCTGGATTAGTTGAACCCGATAGCTAACCGATAATGACATTAGACTCACCCTTAGTATATCTGCCCTACAATCACTCAATTTCTTTCTTCGCATGCATCGCTGACATGGGATGTTATTATTGGTTACACAGCCCCCAATATAGCTATCAAATTTAGCTAACTGTGCTCCAATGGAACACAGAGTCACAGACAGATAGGTGATGCATCAACCTAATTCCCAAACTGAAAAGTTTAAAAAGATTCTAATTTATCAGTTTTAACATGCAAAGAACAATCTCTGTTATCCATTAAGGGAGTGTTTGACAACATGATTGGCTTTGTTTTTGAAAACAAAAACAACTGCCATATCAGCAAAAACAATAGAATTTTGCTGAAAGTGGCAGTTGTTTTTGTTTTCAAAAACAAAGCAACAGCACCCCCTAAATGAATCCGGATCTCCTGCATTTTCCTGCTATATTTTCTCCAATAATTCCATTCAATCTATGACTAGTATCCATTACATGTGCTTTGTGTATTCTCATAAATATAGGTACTTTTACACATGCAAGGGGACACCTATCACAAACTGAATGGAAGTGCAGGAGATGGAGATCCCAACTCACACAGAATATGAATCTACTCTCTCTTTTACTTCTAGAAAGTGCCAATTTTACCCTTGTTTACGATTTTTTAATTCCTAATAAATTTACTTAATTCAGAATTTCAATATGTGGGAAGTTGCTTGAACTAAAGCATCTTAGGCCCTAACAAACCCCAATATAGTGCCAGGGTGCCAAGTTACAATGGGTTTTCAAATATTTGTATACTTAGTATGTTTCTTCCTTGTAATTGGTTCATTAAGATTAATAAAGCATCTTGAAACTTCAACTGTTGATGGTTCATGAGAGAAAATTATCACTTTTCTACCAAGGAATTAGTAAATAAGTGCTATTAAACAATTTTAAGTCAATGAATTGGGCATCTATCATATACGTGGGGCTGTGAGCTATTGGTTTCTTTTCTTATTTGTTCTTACAAGAAAGGTAAACAATAGCTATTAAACATTTCAATTTAAAGGATTAGTGGGGCATGAAGAAATCAACAATCTTTTTCAATTGGAGTTGTTAGTTTTGGTCTATCCAAAGAAACAAGCTTCCTGGAAGGTACAACATTCTGTCTTGAGAACACAGATAATTCCTTAATGGGTCATCTTTCTTTTATCCAAGCCTAGTGAAAAGCTATCGAACTCAGTTTCTCAGAAATACAAACAAATTTCACTTGTTGGTCATTTGTTCTCTTTGCTCACAAGAAGGCATCACAAGGAAAGAAGACATAGTGGTATCTCCACTAGTGCAGGCTATACTAGACAAATTTTCCTCCCCTCTGCTCCGGAATTTTGGATCAGAATGGGATGTTCAAGTACAATTAGATGAGCTCAGCCGTATAGTTGAGAGAATTCAACCACTGGTAGATTATGTAGAGGATAGGCAAATAAATGATGAGCGATTGAAGATTTTCCTAAAGAGATTTTAGGCACATCTCTTACCAAACTGATGACATATTGGATGAATTCATCTATGAAACTCAACGACAGAAGCTACAGGATGGAATAACTCAAAATCAGCCAAACAGATAGGTACATCAATGCCTCTCTTTTTCTTTAAATGCAAACCTCATGCATGTTAAATCGATTTGAGATTGCACCCACCATAGATGAGATTAAAAAGAAGCTAGTTGACATTGAAAATAAGCTCCAACCCTATTATGAGAGAGGCTCAATTGGAATGAGTCCAAGTGAAAAAACAAGGAGACTGCAAAATATTTCATTGGTGGACAACAGACAGAGGAGTAGTCCCATAGTAAAAAATTCTAGTGTTTTTGGCAGGAGGGAACATGCAAATGATATGATAAAAAAATTATTAACTGATAGGTATGATCAAGCAGAGGTTCCTGTCTTAGCCATAGTTGGAATGGGGGGAATTGGCAAGACAACACTTGCACAGATTGTCTACAATGATCCAACTGTGGAAAACCATTTCCACTTAAGAGCATGGGTTTGTGCCTCTGAAGATTTTGATGTTAAAAGATTAACTAAGCAAGTTATAGAATCAATAACTTATAATCATTGTGAATTGGACTTCATAGAGTCACTTCAAGTTAGACTTCGAAAGATACTGAAAGGGAGGAGGCTTTTACTTGTACTAGATGATCTAGGTTCAGATCATGGTAGTAGAATAATAGTTACTATTCGAAGTCAAACTATTTCATATATAATGGACCCAATACAAATTTATTCCTTGAAAAATTTATCAGATGAAGATTGCTGGTTGTTGTTCAAACAGCAAGCATTTTCTAATGGAAAGCCCCATGAACATCCCAACTTGGAAGCAATTGGTAGGAAAATTGTGGAGAAGTGCAAAGGACTGCCTTTGGCAATAAAGACACTTGCAGGTCTTCTCCACATATGTTAGATGAGAATGAGTGGCACAATTTTGGAAAGTGAGATCTGAGAATTAGAAGATGACAACATCTTCCCAGCTCTAAGTTTGGTTTATCATCATCTCCCACCACATTTGAAGTTGTGTTTTATGTACTGTTCTTTATTTCCCAAAGGTTATGTGTTTTATAAGCAAGCTCTAGTCCAACTTTGAATGGCAGAAGGTTTCATTGCATCTACAAAAAATTGAAAGAATGGAAGACATAGGTACCAAATACTTTGATGACTTATTAGGAAAGTCTTTCTTCCAGTATTCAGAGCTAAAAGAATTGAAATATGGATTTGTAATGCATGACTTAATTCATAATCTAGTTAGTATCAGGGAATATGTGCATTAGAATAGATAGTGATAAATTGTGTGATATCTTAGAAACAACTCGTCATTTCTCATTGATTAATGTTAACTTGGGTGTAGTAATTAACAAAATCTATCAGAGTAAGTGTTTCTCCACATTTCTTACTCCAGGATATGTTAACCATGGGAAAATCCCTAGTGATTTATTTGAAGAATTGAGATTCTTACGAGTTCTGGATTTAAGTTGGACTGATCTCAAGAGGATACCAGATTCCATTTGTGAACTGAAGCATCTACGCTACCTCGATCTTTCTGCAACTCGAATTAGTGTTTTGCCTGAATCAATGTGTAACCTTTTCAATTTACAGATCTTGAGACTCATACATTGTTATAAACTGCGTAAGCTACTTGAAAACATGAGGAGCCTCATCAATCTGCAGTACTTATTTGTAAGTGGTGATTTTGGGCTAAAAGAAAGATCTTTGATACAAGAAACTAGAACATTAGTGGTTCTTAAACAACCACGTGGAATTGGGAGACTGACCTACCTCAAAACATTGCCTTATTTTGTAGTTGGGCAAGATGATGGTTTCATGCTAGGGGAGCTCAAGACATTGCAACATCTCCACGGAAAGCTTAGCATATCAAAATTAGAGAATGTCACTGACATGCTACAAGCAAAGGAAGCCAATTTGAAGGAAAAGAAGAGGCTTAATGAATTAGAGTTTCAGTGGAGTGATGTTATCGGAAACCTTCAAGATGGAGGAGATACTGATGCTGTGCTTGAAAGTCTACAACCCCACACAGGACTGAAGGGTCTCACAATTAGATCATACCCTGGCATAAGCTTTCCAAATTGGATGATGATGGGTTTGGTATTACAGTGGTGTTCTCTGAGGAGGAGAAAGTGCCCCCAATGCTTAAAGATCTTAACATCCGCAGTTGCCTACAATTGAAATTGCTATCAGGAGTATACAGTCTTTCCTCTCTTCAAGAATTATTCATCTCGAGTTGTTATACTCCTAAATCTTTTCCAGAAGAGGGGCTGCCGGCCAGCCTTCAGACTTTAATTATTTGGGACTGCCCTGAATTACAGAGCCAATGCCAAGAGGGAGGAGAAGACTGGTCAAAAATAAGAGACATCCCAGTTTTAAGACTAGCTGGTAATGGTGAACATTTCTACATTCTTTCTTTGTTAGTCACATACCTCTTTGTCTGTTTGTCCTGTTAATTCATGAACCAATTATTTACCTGTGATGGGGTTACAGGTTAATACCAATTGGAGATTATGGTATTGATGAAACTTGGAAATATTGCTTGAAGATACTAGTAGATCACCACAAGATAACTAATTACAAGCTCAGGTTCTGGTTTAAGAATATCTACCAAAAAAAAAGTTCTGGTTTAAGAGTTATTGTTTTCATTGTGTTTCATTATTAATAAACTCTTTGTAATATTGGCTGCGTTTGGGTAAATGTCCCCATGGAAATTGCATTTCATTTTACATTATTATCCACAAAAGCTAGCGGAAGAGGTCGGTTACTCTACTCAAAACTGCACTTCAACCACTGTAACCTTTCATTGATATAATTCATCAACTGCACCTCACGTACATGTGTACTTTCAAACAATGGGGGGGCTCATCAGTTATACGGCACCATATGATTGAACCCATTACAGTCAAACATGCTCTTCTTGATATGTTACAAAAAGGGAATTCCAATCTTCTCAATTATGAAAGATGGCTCAACATTTCAGATCCAACATGCCCCCTAATGCAATATGGAAACCTAGACTTCAAACCACTTATTTTTACAATGTAATTTCAATGTAGCTATGTGGAATCATTCATGAAATTGGTGCTTTTCTAGGCACAGCGAAAGCATTCTTGGAAGAATGGCCAGTTTCAAGGGTGACTTAAAGTGAGAATCTGCTGGTCAACCATTCCTCTGGCAACCATGCGTGGGCTATTTGGTGTGAAAGCGCCAATAGAACTTTTGAACAGAAACCTACATCTGAAGCAGATGACTAATCTGGCAATGGGAGCACTTAAAACACGATGCTCTTTAGTTCTACTTCTTTTTTGAAAATAGACTTTTTTTGAGGTCCTTACTTGCTTTATACATATAGAGCAACTCATAACGACCGTATACTTTTTTTAATTAATACAGTATATTTTACCTTTCTTCAAAAATACAAGGATATATATACATAGGAAATACATACTCTAATATTATCAGAAGTAATAGTGAAAAACATTGCAATCAAGGAATGATTAATAGGGTTAGGATTGAAAACATAAACCATCTTAAATTTAGGTGGGCTGATGATGAGTAATCAAATGGCCAGTACTGAGGGGAGATATCAAACCTACGTAGTAGTTGCATGCTCTCAATCTTCGTGGACTTCATCTGTAATATGTAATACCAACCGTATGGATTCCAGTAGAGGTAGCAATTGGGCGGGTTGAATTGGGTTTGGTTTTGGTTGAATTTCAATCTAATTCATTAATCCGCCAATCCATTAATGATACAATTAGATAAAATTAAATGTATTAGGTTCAACTCAAATTCATCTTGACCCAAGCCAAACTAAACCCATTTACATGAAACAATGAAAATTACACAAAAATAATAAAAAAATGTTGAAAATAAAATAAAAATAAAAAACACAAAAAAGGTATAAAATTAATAGAAATTACATAAAACTTTTGAAAAAACAGAAATTGCCACTCTCATTTTAGACCTTGAGAGTGGTAATCCATTCTGAGCACTACCGGCGGCATAAAGAGCCATTAGCCCTCTCTCAGAGAATGAGAGTGGGAGAGAAAGAGAAAAAGGGGAGAGAGTTCGAGAGAAGGGAAGAAGAATGCCATCGCTGCTGGGCGTTGCAGTGGTGGTGGTGGAGTTGCGAAGTGGCAGGGGACTGTGGTAGGTCGAATGAAAGAGAGAGATACTTGAGATGGCAACCTGAATCGCAGTATTGATCTATGCTAAACCCTGGAGTTCGTTCTTCCCTCAATGTTCTCTGGCAGCCTGAATCACCGATTTTGCTAAAACCGCTCTCGTTCTGTACTTCTCCAGTTCTCCTTGGGTTATTTGATGGTTAACCATTATCCAACCCACCCAATTCGTTAAAGGCCATGGTTATTGGGTTAACCAACCCGCAAATGACCCGGGAATAAATAAATGGGTTCAACCCATTAACAATTGGGTGGATTAGGCAGATTGAGTCAAAAATTGCCGCCCCTAGATTCCATTACATGAATTCTTTTTCACCTTTCCATTTTGTTTATTAAATTATCGGTGTGCTTAAATTGTTTCTTACTATTTCAATCATGTGATATTTGGTCTATCCTAGCTTAATATTCTCTCAAAGGCAAGATAAAACCAGATGGTGCAAAGTTCACATACCTTGTCCTCGGGGGGTAGAGAGCCTTTTATAACCACTTTGCGCACTCACTCCGAGGCTTCTGTTAGGTCGGGTATGATTACTTATGTGCTTTTGCCAGTTCGGGTGTCATCGCCTTTGCTGGGACAGAACTGCCACTGCTCTTTGTCGGAGCCATCTCTGTAACTGGAGATGGCGGTGGCAGGTGGCCGTTGAAGTGCGGCTGTCAAGCGTCAGATCCCAAGTCAGTCAGGTGCGCCGCCCCTGGATACGGACTCCTTCGGTGTCAGGTACGATGTGGTTTGTTCAGTTCGGTGTCCTGGAGGCGAAGTGCTGGAGTGGTGTGCGAGGTGAAGTCTTGAGTTCGGACAGAGGTATGGCCCGAACTGCCATGGGGCAGGCCAGTTCGGGTTGTTGCCCTTTGTGTTCGTAAGGCTCGGGGCCTAAGGGAGAGCTCGGGCTCCTTACTGGGAGTTTGGGCTCCTTGCAGGGAGTTCGGACCGTTGGTTCCTCCTTCATCAATTGCCCCCCACTCCTCGTGTTGAGTGGTTACGAGGTCGGGCTCCACGTGTTGAGTGGTTACGAGGTCGGGCCAAATCTTCCTTCATCAATTGCCCCCCACTCCCCGTGCTAAGGGTCTTGCCATGGCGCGGGGAGTTCGCAAGGTGGCGGGTGGATTTGTCCCGTACTTCGAATTGGTTGACTGATAGCACGAGGTGCGTCATCAGGATTCTTTTGGGTTTCTCGAGCGCCCAAAAGACGGGAAACGCGCTGATCTGCCTACAAATGCTGACAGTCGTGACAGTGCGCGCCTTATTTCAAAATTCAAAAAATGCGCCACTGGGAAACGTGACAGCACGCGCTTTATTTCAAAATTCAAAAAGCGCACCGCTGGGAGATGCGACAGCGGGCGTCTTTTCAAATTTGAAAACGTGTCGTTGCCGCCTTTAATGTGAGAAGACATGCGCTTTCAGTTTCGAGAGACGTGTGGCCAGTCACGTCTCAGTCTCAGGAGACGTGCGGTCGGCGCGACTACGGGCCGTCGGATTGGCTTTGATTTGAGCCGTTGATTCTTGGTTACTGTGACTATAAATAGTGGGGGACCCCAGTCGCTTTGTCACTTCTGCGTTTTGCTTCTTGAGCTCGCGTCCAAGCCTTTAGTTCGCATTCAAGGTTTTTAGCTCGTGTTCAAGTTCCCGTAGTCCGTTCAAGCCTTTTTCCGGGTGAGTACTTTCCTGGAATCCATCTTCTCTTCCCGATGTCTAGCTCGGATAGCTCAGACGGTTCTTCAAGGGGGTCAGATGCAGGTTCTACGAACCGAGTTGCATCCCCCGATGGTCCTAGCGAACCAGAGGTAGAGCTCGAGGAAGAATTCGAACCCGTAGGCCGAGTCGCCTCGAGTAGTTTGGCGTCCACCTCTCGTCGAGGTCGGACGTTAGACAAGTTTGGGCCCTCAACCATGACGCCTGAGGGGCTTCAATACCTTATTACCCATTACAACTTGCCTGGGGAGTACGCCTACTTCATACCTTCGGGTAGTTTCCCTTCAGAACACGGTCCTGAAGAGATCGTGATATTCTGGGAGCAGCTCGCTGCGGGGTTGCGCCTGCCTTTCCACCCCCTCCTTGTTGAGGTCATGAACCACTTCGGCGTTACTATCGGCTAGCTTCACCCGAACTCCATTTGTAACTTGGTGGGGACAATCTTCCTATTTTGCAAATAGGGCTTTCCTTTAGACTTGGAGATCTTCTCTTCCATTTTAATGCTTAAGAAGAAAGCGGGTCCCCTTTCCGAGCGTAGGTGGGCGTATTACCTGTCTCCTCGCCCGGGTTTTAAGCTTTTACATGAACTTTCCAACAAGGTCCCAGCGTGGAAGCGGGACTACTTCGGGGTGCGAAGTGTATTGGGGTGGCCGTCACAAACCGGGTGGGGGATGGCCGCCCCTAACTCCGGTGTTACGCTTGATAAAGAGACGGCGAAGGGCCTCCGGCAATGGGCACGGCTTGGGCTAAAATGCCATCATTATCTGTCGGAGGCCAAGCTCATTGAGGCCGGTTTGAGTTCGAGTAGGTTCCTTACTCAGGTTTGTCTTTTATTTTGCTTTGTTCTTTTGTTTTTTCCTGATGCCGAGCTCATTTTGCAGGTGTGATGGACTTAGAGAGGACTCGTGGTGGGCACCTGTTTCACGGCATGAAGAGAAGGAAGTGAGTCGCCAAACGAACTCGTGCCGAGCTGCCCCGAGACGCGGAGCCCGAAGTACCAGACTGCCCGTCTGTGGATCCGCCCAGGGAGCCCGAGATGGCCACTCTAGTCCATGAGGCGGTAGGGGCCCCTTATGCCGAGGCTACTTATACGGGGGCTCCTGCTTACTCTGAGTCCGCTTACACGCGAGCTGGGCCCTCAGGCTCGGGGGTCCAAGGCGAGTTCAGGAGCGTGTTGTCACCGAACCACGCTCTGCAGAAGAGTAGGGAGGCCATCTATCCTGAGGAGGTCGCAGCATGGTCCGAGCTTCCTTTGAACCAGGTAGCTTGTCGTGCTGCCACTCATGCCATGGTGGTAAGTCATA